CAACCGCTGCATCAGTCGGGCGCGCAGAAGTGGGCAAAAGTCCTTCTTTTTCTAGGCTACGCGTACGGCGAAAGTAAATACTTTTGCCGGAGGGATGGAAAAAAGTGAATTTTTATACCGCTGCTCGGTATAAATTCGCCATTTTCGAAATATAGGGGCAAGATAAACAATCGCGGCAGCGCATTATTTGAAGGTTCAGAGAAAAAGTGCACGATTTCTGGTGTTATGGGAACCCTCCTAAGGCAAGGCAAGGTAGAAAATCGACTTTGAAAAAAATGTTGAGTCAAAAAATCACGTTTTTTGTTTTTAATGGCAAAATAAACGATGATAATGTTTATTTATCGCAAAAATAACACCGGATACTGAAAGAGCATACCCAAAAACCCCAGGGTATGGATTTTCAAGAAAATATTTTAACTTTATCTATAATTTTTTTACAACGGAAAATTCATGCACAAAATTGCACTTTTGCGCGTTAATGGGTTAATGTAAATAGTTATAATTATTAAATTCAACATGGTAATCATAAATATGACTCCCGAATACCTGAATACCATAGAATTATTTCGACAATTTTTAACTCGATTACTATCGACTTTGGTTAAATACCTGGCGATGCACCCTTGACCGACTAAGATGGAAAACTCACATTTGGATCAAACATAAACAGCTCGGGATCAAACTTAGCTGCTGCTAAGTCTAATATAGACATTATTAGAAACACACAGTGTTCAATGTCAGCATCCAATAAGAACTAGAGGATTATGGTAAAATCAGCCATCCCTATCAAAAAAAGTCAGATGATAAATCAGATGATTAATCATGTGATAAGTCAGATGATTTATCATCTGATTTGTCATGACAAAACATCATCTGACGTTGAATCAATAAATACCACCTTAAGTTTCGATTGAATCATGTCATTGTTTAGGTGTGAACTTATTTTTCCTAAATATAGTTTTTTATTGTATTTAATTAAATGAAATTATTTTTAATTGTAAGTCCAAAAAAAATTGTTCTTGTCATTATTTATCATTTTATTGTAAATTTGGTTATTTTTTCAATAAAATGAACCATGTCTTGATCTTATTTTGTAATGGTGGATCTTTACAGTTTGCACTTCCATGAAGAAAATTAAATACTGCAACAAAAATTAAAAAAGTTTTTCATTTTTCATACAATTATTTAAAATAAAGTTATTCCCGCTGGAAAAAATCAAGTGTAAATAAGGTGATTTGTCATGTAAAAATCTGAAAATTCTCATAAATGACATCATTTTGGTTATTTTGAAATTTAACAATAAATTTTTTATTTTTTTAAGACAACTATATAATTTATTGATTTTGATTAGTGAATAATTAAAATTCAGGGACCTCAGTACTCCTCAGTACATCTAAATAAAGCCCGTTATAGCAGTTTATTTTAATAAGCCAATTGGAAAGCATAGGAAAAATCAATTTGTTATAATTATAACAATAAATAAATAAAGCACACTGAAGGCTCACAGGGAGCTACCATTATTTAATTTTTAAATGTTTTTATGAATCTAACTGGATAAAACAGCTTCCTTTGGCGTATAAAATATATCTATTTTTCAAAATTTTCAATTTCTTTAGCTTTCTATGGGGAAAATATTAATTAATATGAAATGATGAACGTTTTAAATCAAAGCACTCAAGGATACAGTAGTAACATTATAAACACTAATTAACAGTACCTTACACTTCACAAACTTCAAACGTTGAAACTTGTTTCCACATAGCATATTTACAAAATACATTCAATCTGATGACAGTTATCTAAACATCTAACATCTGAGGACAGCCAACCTAAAAATGGATGCAGCACCTGAAATATAAATTGTACCACAAAGTATCACTTTCTTGCCAAGTATATATCTCTGTATTTATGTATATGATATATTATTATTAGTAGGAATGATTTCATTTTGCTTAGTAAACAAATTACTTATCTGATAAAGTCTATGTAAAATACTGCTGCAATACTGCTCGGCTGCAGGCGATGCCATCACAGAGCACCAGAGAGCCTCTGCTGCGCACTGACACCAATGGTTATGTTGCCTAGTGATCGCTTTGACAGCAGCCGAGCAGTATTGCAGCATTATTTTACAAAGACTTTATCAGATAAGTAATTTGTTTACTAAGCAAAATGAAATCATTCCTACAAATAATAATATATTATATACATAAATACAGAGATATATACTTGGCAAGAAAGTGATACTTTGTGGTACAATTTATGTTTCAGGTGCTGCATCCATTTTTAGGTTGGTTGTCCTTAGATGTTAGATGTCTAGATAACTGTCATCAGATTGAATGTATTTTGTAAATATGCTGTGTGGAAACAAGTTTTGACGTTTGAAGTTTGTGAAGTGTAAGGTACTGTTAATTAGTGTTTATAATGTTACTACTGTATCCTTGAGTATTTTCCTCATAAAAAGCTAAAAAATTGAAAATTTTGAAAATAGTCATAACAGCTTTTTTCAATATGCCAAAGGAAAGTGTTTTATCCAATAAAACACTTAAAAATTGAATAATTGTAGCCCCTCTGGAGCCTTTAGTGTGCTGTATTTATTTAATGTTATAATTATATGATTATATAATTATATGTTATAATTGTATGAAAGATGAAAAACTTTTTTAATTTTTGTTGCAGTATTTAATTTTCTTCATGGAAGTGCAAACTGTAAAGACCCACCATTACAAAATAAGATCAAGACATGGTTCATTTGTTTGAAAAAAATACCAAATTTACAATAAAATGATAAAAATGACAAGAAAAATTTTTTTTGGACTTACAATTAAAAATAATTTCATTTAATTAAATACAATAAAAAACTATATTTAGGAAAAATAAGTTCACACCTAAACAATGACATGATTCCATCGAAACTTAAGGTGGTATTTATCGATTCAACGTCAGATGATGTTTTGTCATGACAAGTCAGATGATAAATCATCTGACTTATCACTTGATTAATCATCTGATTAATCATCTGACTTTTTTTGATAGGGATACCCTATTCATCTAATTTTTATGTTAATTAACATGAATACATAGAGGGGCTTCGATATCGTATACTCCTCAATATAGAAAATAAAAATCGACAAACGCTCCAACTCGCTCGCTTTGGACCTAGCAAGTAGCAACGTTGCCTCAAGACTGAAAATACGACAGTTTGGATAGCTCTGCGACCTCTGCTGTTTCTTTTTCCTCGCTGATAAAACACTCATCTAAAAAAGTATCATTTAAAACGTTAAACTCCGTGAGTGATGGAATTTGGTCCATCTTTTCCCTCTTGCCATTTGTAAATATACACACAGTATTTGCTTATTGTTCATTTTTTTTGTACTGACAGATTGAAAATAAAAAATGAGGAGGAAAGTGTTACATATATTTATTTCGGATGAATTTTATTCATGAAGATAAATATTGCGAATTAAAAAAAAGGCACAGATTTTATTCTCAATTTTTTGTTTATTTAAATTCATCAATTGCTCGGATTAACAATTTCCTCTTATAATTCATCAAACATTTCTTTCAAGTAAGATCAAGCTTTTAGCGGAAAATATCGACATATTCACTTTTTTGTTTTCATGATGTTCATGGTTTTAAATCACCAATACGGCACTATTAATTGAGAATCACAATTTTAATCCCATTACAGTGCGTATAAAATTTCACGAATATCCCTGAGGTGATTGTAGAAATCTAAAATATGTTAATTACAATATAAAACTAACTACGTTTCATGATATACCCGCAAGATCCGTAGAATTTTTCAGCACCATCATTACATACAATTTTATGTTACTTGGCATCAGTATTATAAGTATGTTGCAATTAATTTCTATACTCATACAAATAAATTTAAGTGATAAATTTATTCTAAGTAGACATATTGTACGAAAATAAATCAGACTATAATGACTCTTGACATAATTTAAGATATAAATCATAAATAGTTTTACAAAAAAATAAAATTTAACAGTAACAAAAAAACAATTTTATAAATAATCCTAGATATAAGCAAAAACGAAAAATGATAAATCTTCAATCGTTTGACATTAATTTAAAACCAATTATCGGAAAGGATATTATTTGCTTAAACATTATCATAGGAAAAAAATTCATTTCATTTTGACAAATTTTACAAGTATTTGTGGGTATAAAACTCTCGTAAACTTTTTTCTGAACATTTTAAAGGATCACCTTAAAATCAATTCACAACAAAAATAAAACATTAATAAAATTGGCTAACACTAATCATAGCTGTGCAACTATCAAAATTTAAGTAAATTCTAAAATTTTAAAATTCTTCAAATCAATTTCTGTAATTATAAACTTAACATTTTTAACATGCATGCCAACGTAAATTTTTCAACTTTTTTTAAAATCATTCGAAAAATGTTTTCATGCATAGTAAACTATCGGTTATCAAACAACTATAATTTAATTATTGCACTCTCAAAAGAGAAGATTTTTCAGCGTCAAGACTCGTTTCAAGCTATTTTATCGATATGATATTATCAATTAAACTGAAGCTACGTTACCATACAGATGATTGATTTTAATTCTTGAAATTTTATAATTTTCATAATTTTTTTAATTCTCTTTAAGAATACTTATTTGCTATTATAAGAGACGATACTTTTACGTTTTTCATATTCTTTTGATCGAATTCCGACTGAATTTTAATGAATTATTTTAGTGTAAATGCATTGCGTATCAATTTTTTAATGAGTTCAATAATATTTTTTCATTCATCATGTAGTAATAAAATTATATGGACAAAGATGAAAAAAATTACAAACTTTCAGGAGTGTACGATTCATTCAATTATCCAACCTCCATACTTCAGTAACATTCCGAGATCTTGAATAATGCCTCATTAATTTTTTGTATAGTCATTTTTCAAAAGCACAATTTTGGTAAAGTTGAAAAAAAAATTAAAAGAAATTAAAATTAATTCTAAATGATTGAACTTATTTTAAAATATATTTTATAATAATACGTCCAAAAAAATTGTATTTCAATAATACAATCAGAACGCTCGTAAACTGATCGAGCTATTTAGTTCATCACTTTTTTATGAGAGGTTAAATATAATCAAGTAACTACAGTGTTCTATTAAAAAAATATTTGTAAGTAGGAACATTATAGTTTAGAACAGTAATAATAATTCTTAGACCTTTTAATGTGCGCCTAAAACAAGAAAATAGTTCTCGCAAACATTTAGTTTTTTCTTTGGACTAATGAATACTTAAAATAAGCACAAAGACTACTCATGTATTCTGGAAAATAATTTGCTAAAACATACAATAACAAGCCTTCTAACAATCTTCGCATTAGTATACAGTTCATACATCGTTTGACGAATAATAAACTAAAACATAAAATTAATTCCTGACACTGCGCGCATATCGCAATGAAACTAAAAACAACAATTATTGTTCAGAGCTTATTTCATTTATTATTTAGTACTATCGAACGTTTTAATGCAGCGTTTCATTCTTATAACTACTGAATAACGTGTGGATAAAATTATCACTGGACAAAGTGTAACAACGTCCAAACTACGTTCTCGGAGCTTTGCTCGGTCGACCATTCGTTTCGTTGCACTTACACTGCTCGGTAGCATTGGCGTTGGTATGCACTCTTGAGGTGATATGTGGCAGCGAGCCCAGTAAACTTGAACCTCGAACACTGCCGGCAAAACTGCTACGTCCAAGAAACGTGTGAGCGCAGTTGTAGAGTTTAGTTTGTAGAATCAATACATCATCGAGATCTTCCTCGCTATAAATAAAGAATTATTAGAGAAATTAAAAGACATATTTTCAACTGGTAGTAATTCAGTTACTACATGGTTACATTTCAGTTCACTAACCTGGCGGCGATGAGAAATTTTTGAAATAGCCTGTTCGGGACCGTCCGCGGTCGGTCAACTGAATCTAAGTACACTTCTGTTTCTCTATTATATAGATGTAAAAAGTCGGACAATTGCTTGGCCGTGACCGCGGCTTTATCCTTATCGCCTAATTTACTATTCGGCAGCTGTGAAAGAGAGATGGACGTCGAATGAAAAAACTTTTTGTGACGTAGAAAGTAAACGGAATTGGCAGATGCTTACAGTATATGAAAAAGGCTGCTTCAGATTATTTGTAGACTGTTGCAAAAATTTACTAACAAGATCGACACAAACAGGATCCGAATCACTTTCGGAAATTCTCCGCAGAATAGTTCCCAAGTATAGGCCGAATGCTTTTCGCGCTTCTCCAGGACTGTAAATGAAAAATAATTATTCTCTTTCGATATTGTCTTAAAAAAATTATTCAGGAAGCAGCTTGCAAGCAAACCTTAATTTATATCCTTCGTGCATGAGCTGCATCACTTGAGCTTTGTATTTGTGCGTGTCGACGTCCAAATTTTCTTTACTGTCGTTTCTATCCAAGCTAGATCTGTAACCTTTGACCAATGCTCTTTCATACCTTTCGAATCTGTTGAGTGATTTAATTTGAAATGAAACTCTTTTAACAAAATTAACTATGTACATTGTAATACCATGTATATCGAATAATAGATTCCAAAGTTCGTTTATAACAATTGGTAAATTTGGTTATTTTTAGTATCACCGTGTTTACTGATACAATTGTTTGCAGAAAGTTTATTTATAAAATAATCATTTACCTTGACAGTCGATCAAATTTCACGTCAGGAAGTATGTAACCAGCTGAGCGACTGGCGGCTGGAAACAGCTGTTCGTGCAGCATGAAATTGTGATTGACACTGGTTACTTGAACGATTTTTCCAGGTCCTAGAGGATCCGTCGCCATTGGTACGCCGGTTACCGGATCCAAGTACTGAGAATACAATTCCCACGATTTGGGACTAGGAAATATGAGTACGAACCCTCCGCGTCGTTCGATTTGTGCCTTCGAGGATGTTAAAATTCTTTGTTGTTCCGAACTCAATCCAGTTTTGTTATTTACATTCGTTTTTACGCTGGGTTTCTTTTTCTGATTATTTAAGGTTTCCGCGGAATGGACTCTTCTACACTGAAATATGTATAAAATCATGATTAGCTATTTTTAAGCTATGAAAATAAGTGAGAAAACAAATGTCAACTTACGCCAATCGATAGACGCTTGGTCAAGTTCATATTGATCGTTTTATTGGAATTCGTACTTTTCTGCTTGACTATTGGATCAACGGCAGGTACGCCGACTAGTGTCAGTAAATCGGTCATGAGCGCCGACTTGATTCTCACGTCCAGCGGTGAATCACAGCCAAGAGACGGTGTAAGATTGACTTCGAGTAGCCAAGGTTTCAATGTATCGTCTATCAGTATATCGAATCCGAACAGCTCTGAAAAATTGAAAAAGAAAAAACGATTAAAATCATTAATCGAATATGGAACGATTGGCCAAAAGACGTTATGCCAAATTACCGAAACAAGTCTCGGGATGCTTTACGAATTGTTTGATGCCGCTCACGATTCCCGAAGCAGTGGCGAGAATCGATTTTATTATGACATCTTCGATTTTCTGCATCAGAAGTTCGGTGTCCTGACCGATCGATCGCAAATGCCTGAGCAGAGCCGATAGTGTCCACTTGTGACCGACATCCTCTGCGTCCGGATCCTCGCTTCTAAAGGACGAATTTTATACTCTTATGAAAAAACAATATAAATTTATGCGTAGTTCTAACTAGTCGTAATATTTTATCGCAGTTTTCCTTCAAATTAGCGCGATATTTTTTTTTTTATCATTAAACTTGAATTCGATCAGAAAAGCGAGACTCACTTGACGTAATCGACGTGAAATTTGTTGATGCTGTAATTGCAGAGATGCATGCAGGGATTCCAGACGTACTGATCGCCGCCGTCGTACTTGACCGTGGCGAAGCGCACCAGACCCTCCTCGTACAGGTAGATCAGGAGTGGATCGTAACTCGTCACCGCCACGTACAGGCGCAGGTCGCACTTGTGACCATCGACCAGCAATGGATTGTTGATGTACTGAGCCACGATCACCGACTCGTCGGTGAGTATCTTTTCAGGCTGTTTGGCGCGCATATCACACATACGTATGAATCGATGTCAGGACAGGTTCATATATATAGGCAAAAAGACGACTCACGCTATTGACTATGTAGATGCCGCGGCCGCGCGAGCTAGCCTTGGGCTTGACGATCCAGGGTCCACGATAACGGAAATGGGCAGTCTGCAGCTCTCGCGACTCGTTGGGCAGCAGAAACGTCTGCGGTATGAAGTCGTGATTCCTCGTGCCCCTGCTGCGCTGCATACCCTCGATGTTCTTGTAGAGGCGATCCTTGCGCGTTATCTCGTACGATCTGCAAATACGAAACGGGGGATTCGCTCGGTAAAGGTGATTCGAATCGCGAATCTTTATACTCATGACGCATTATATGTGTAGGTACCTCGGGAAATGATTGACTTTTTGATGAGGCAGTAGACTTCGCAGCACGTCTGGCTTCGGATGATTGCCCATCCACAGGAGATTGAAGTGCGGCTCGTGCGTGGCAACCTGCAAACACAATGCAGCAAAGTTTGAGTTTTTTCTATTATTGGTGTTTTATGTACACGTGCAATTCTATCATATGATTATGATTCAACATAAAAGTGAAGTTCAATTTTAATTTATGTCTACGGGACATGACATCGAGTACGAAGTGCTTGTGAGTAATACAACTTTTGTCGAAAAGTTTGACTCTTGTGCCGTTCTTGCTTGATTTGTTTTAAAATACTCAACTTTTACGAGCAACTTTTTACTACTTTAACAAAAGAAAAATAATATTTCGATGTTACGAAAATCATTCATCCCTTAGAAAAGAGTCTGTGAAGATGATAAAATTTCTTTATACCATTGATTGTCAGAAAATAAGTGAAAAAGAATCTTATTTGATTGTACAAGCGAAAAATAAGGACCAATTTCATTAATACTGTGTAAATGCAATACGAAAAGTCGAATTCTCTTAATAAATTAATCTGCTCGTTCTTAACTTCATCCAGCCGTTACCTAATGAAACATGTCTCCATTCTTCATTATAAAATTATCGCACGGTCCGTTACTAATTTTTCAATGGTAAAAACATCGACGTTCGGCTTATGAACGTACGCATACATAGAAGCGATTCTTAAAACGCCGAGTCATTCACGGTGGTCCATCTCTACTCGACCAAGTCGAAAAATTGCGCTAAGCGTATATAGCGTATATATATACATGGTTTCGCGCGCACACAGTGCATATAATTGCATTAGCACGCACGTCGCGTTTAAGTCCGCTGCTGCGACTGCTCGTCATAGGTCATCGCAAACAATGAACCCGCGCGACGCGCCAGCAGCAGCAGCAACATAATATATATAGCTATAGCATACGTTGTACTCCTGCGTACATATATACTATATACAATGTATATAAAGGCATTATATATGAGCTGCAAGGCTGAACTTATTAACGCATTTGTTCGCATCTTTTTTGCCTCTCAACTTCGAAGTTTCGACGATTTGCGTAGTCATCGCGTTTGGCGCGAGCGCGAAGAAGTTTGAATCTAATTGTCTGAATGTCAACTTATTAGCCTGTTGTTACTCTATTATTGTAGTAAGCGCGACTTTCAATGGTACTATAAATGTTACATCTATTTCAAAATTTAATCGCAGAAGAGATATTAAAAAAAAGTTCATATTCACATGATTGCTGAATACTTTTCTCTTCGATGACATATCAAATCATCATTCGCATTAATCAAATACACAAGTACTTTTAAAAGTATTGAAAACTATTTATATACTTGTTAAATGCAAGTTCAGTTGTAAATACAATTCTAAGGATGAAGTAATTAGCACATTTTCAACCTTTGCAGACTCAAATATGAATTATTATTACAATAGGTAAGGAAGGAGCTGCTAATGTCCATGAATAACATTGTCGTCATACCTAAAGTACATGTGCAAGTACGTCACATGTTGGCAGAGCAACAATGCCACTGCTCACTTAACTCGTGGTAAATTATTGTTTTTTTTACTAATTACACATCCTGAGTGAATTCTCAATTTGATTTAAAGGCTCATCATTCTTTAGTTTTTCATTCATTTTTACAGACGAATTAGTAAAAATTATAGAAAAGTAGCTGAAGATAAACGAGTGAGCATCGCAATATTAATAGCAATGCTGTGCGCTTCTAACTGGCCCTATTAACCCCCTGAGCTAAGATGCACATGTATGTCGCAATGCGAAAACTTGCATTTGGTACGTTGTGCTCGACTTTAATTTACATGATGCATTGCGATGCAAGAAGCCTGAAAGTACAAAGTGCGTAGATAAATGCGCGGATTTTCCGCTAATCGTGCATTTTATAATTAAATACAGGATACATTAAGTAACGTTGTAACAGCTTCGAATCACTTTGCAATCGACAAATAAGGGAAGATAAAATCACTGCTGGTATTTCTACTTTCGTTTCTTTTTTTGTTTTAACATTTTTACTACGCAGAAGTAACATATAATGCATGTTTATGAAGGAATTTTTCGTACTACTTTTCTTATTATGATGCATTAAATACTTGGCTACTGTTTAACCGGTGCAAATTTTATACAATAGTGAGAATAGTTCGTATAGAACAGTGATCTTGTTTCATAAAATATACTTGCTTACCAGTTTTGATATGAATTTGTAGTTTTTATATCGAGGGGTAGCCTACAATGGAAAAAAATTTCAAATGAATGAGACAACTGCAGGGCACACATCAGTGGATAAAATTAGTGAATACAAATTTTTATATTTTTAATAGTAACTATGAATTTTAATAATTTTACGACGAAAATATTCAACATGAATTTCCATTCTTTTTTTTTATTTATTCATTGCTCCAATAATATTTTCATTCATCTGCGATAACAATCATATAAATCTTAGATTTTTCATGTAATTAATTTTATGTAACAATTTCTTGGGTACTATTTTAAGTTGCTTACATCTAAAAGTAATTTAAAGCCATTATCAACTTGAATAAGAAAATTATTCGAATTTTGAATACATGAATATTGATGGATTATGACGAAAAAATACTCTCATAGTATGTACGATCTGAAATCTGACTATACGTCGATGAGGAAAAACTTTGCAGCTTACATAAAACATAACGTATTGCACGCTACTCAAGTATAAACAGGAGCGATGTGGAGCGCAATTTTATGCAACAAAAATATATTATTTAAGCGACGTCGCGTGAATCCATCGACTTCAATCATTTCGACAAACGAGATGTTGCAAGCAATTCGAGCGACTGCCATTATAAGACTAGGAAAAAAATTTTCTACGAGCCGAGCCAGCTGCCGTTCGTCAAATCCGAACAACTCGAAAAGTACTTTTACAGCGTTAGATCATTATGCTTTATCTGACGTAATGTAATTCTTGTCGTTACGCATAATCGCGCTAAAATATCATATGCACAAAGTGGAAAAAGGGGCAACGACATAATGCGACATGGGTATATATGTGTGACTGTGTTGGTTTATCACACACTGGCACAGCCTCGGGGCTGAAAACGTATTATTTATGAAATGGCTGCGTATATATAAGAAAACTCGAATACTCGTGTTTACGTATACACAGACTCACATACGTATTTCAGAATCGAGGATACAGAGTCACTTCTTTTTTCGACTGAATTTCTAGCCCGAGGGCAATGTCTCTGCGAAGACGAGAATTACCTATGCATGTAATGCTCTTGTTACTCGTACATCTGCAAGAGTAACTACCATCGTGCCTCTGTGTTGGTGCGATGTACCATATTATGTGCTTGTTTTAGAAGATATACAATACAAGTTGAAAAATAATAGAGATGACATAACGCGGAAGTGTTATTTTTGAAAAAAATGAAATATAGTCTGACTTGGTATTTTTGTACGAATCAATGCATTAGCTGATATAGATTCAGTTTTTGAATTATATGACATTATTGGAGGAATAAAGTAAAAAGAAAGTTAAATAATGCTGTTTTAAATACCTGTCCATTAAAATAATTACTCGTTGTAATGGAACGGTAATTGGGAACGTGTTTTTAACAAAATCAAAGGGCTGCTATATCCTGAAAGATTGGTGTTGCTCAGAATTTTAACCACAAGAGCTGCACACTGTTTTAACGATAATATCATTAATTCTTATTCCATGAATATACAGATCCTATCAGTGTAACATTTTTCTATGTAAAGAATGAAACCGCAAGTATTTATAGATAGAAGTTATGCAAATTTTTTACATCCTTGTAAATTTTGATTTGTTAAAAATTTTTTTCGCTAAGCCAAGTCCATGTCTAACAACAACAATTTATAATAAATTCACATAATTACAATAATGATTTATTCACGACATATAGTCACCTGTCTGTCGTATTGACTCCTTATACATTTTGCACTTAAGCACCGGTTCAGCACCGCAACAATTTTCTCCGGCTACTGGTCTAATCTATTTGATATTGTGTAGCAGTAGAACGTCCCTCCGGCGTCGAGGTTTTCCTTAACGAGCAGTGATAATTATTTTAACGCCGGACGTAGCAATTATAATTTTTTTTTCTCGAACATGGATAAGCCTAAGCGTAAAACACGATGATAAATTGTTTGCTTTCCGCACACATCCTTGGTTATTATAGATTTCGATGAATAAAAATTGACTTTCGCGTAAATGAGTTCTACGTAAATCTCGCGCAGACTTCGTGACGAAACATGGCGTTTCGCAAAATTCAATCTTCCGAAGCTCATTTTCAAGCCTATGCATAGTACATACACACAGCGAGAAAAGAGGAGATAACCGGATTCCGAATGAAATTCAATTAGCCGACATACGATTGTATTTCTTGTACGCTTTACAGCATTTGTATGTAAAACAACGAGTTATCGCGAATAATTTACAAGTTTTTATTTAATTTGTAGAATTTCAATCGAATACATACAATATGCTATTATCGGGAACAGTATTTTATTATATTTGGAGCAAAATTTAAAAAAAAATCTCAATAACAATGAAGCGGTAGGTATACGATACATGGTTATAATGAAATAAATAATTTATTGAAAAATGTTTTGAATCACATTTATACGTGCAGCCAGCGCGAGGGTGATTGTTCCTCGTCGTGGCTGCGATTCGAGTGCTTCCTTAAGCGAGTGACGTTTGTATACCGGCAATATGACGTTGTATTTATTAATTTGTTATACTGACGTCGACGAATTTACTATTACGTACACATAAATTCTTAACATTTTTACAGCAAATTGTATAAACCGAGACTCGTTCAGGTATATGACGCTCTCAGAAGTATATGACGTATACGTAAATTACTCGTCGTCGAAAATTATTTCATTAGTTAAAACTTTCTACGTTGAAGCGTTAGAAAACGCAAACAAAGCGATATGCACACGTACACATGATATATCTTCGAGCGAAGTGCAAGGCACATAATGTCATTAGAAAGTTCATAGCCAATGCAATTATCGTAAAATTGACTTCATGGATTATCTTCATTTGTATGACTCGAAGAAAATAAAAAGGAATGCCGATTCTCGTTCGAACCCGTTAATATACGAAAACTTCAAGTATCGATAATCTTATACAGTGAATGAAAGCGACCGATCGTTAAAGTCGCGTCGACAAATGAAATTTCGGTCGATTTCCTTCATTGAATCATCGGAAGATCGACGCCAGTGTGGCATCTCTGCGCACGACGATACCGCGAACATTGGACATCAACAACAACAAAAAAGAGGCGAATCAAGGATAACAAGCCTCTCTCGCTGCTGCTTCTCTTTATTCGCGTCTCTCTTTTACTTGGCAAGGCATTATATCGACGAGAGACGTTAAAGACGTCACCGCGAGTGTGTACGTGCCCTCAGAAAAGTGACTCATTCTAAGCTGGCGCAGTCGCGCGCGCGAGCGGTAAAAATGAATTTTTTCATCGAGTATAGTTAATGTCTTTTTTGCGCAAGCTTTGTTGCGCAGAGAGCTTTTATCGCTCTTTTCTACCTTTTTTTTTTCAGGCCACGATAGACTCGAGATAAAGTTTCTCGTTAATTAGGCGCATGCTCGTACATGATATAATGCGTAGTTGACTAAATGTGCGAACGAATCTCAAGGTCCCGTCGATGCAGGAGGAACGATCGCAACCGCGAACCCGAGCGTTCCACGCACAAACCGCAGACAAGGTTCAGTCGTACTTTATTGCGTTATGCGCAATTTTTGGCGTCGAAAATGAGCAAGCGCAGTGCACTTACTTGAGAACGTTACAAAGCACACAGATTGTGTACATAGTTGAAAATAACGCACAGCGTACACAGCTGCGGTTCGCTATACACGAGTGCAGGCGCAGGTACAAACAATGTACATAATAATATAATGAAGCGATTGTGCGTCAGCTTATATGTATATAAAAAAGGCGCGTCGCGCGTCGAGAAAAATAATAAAAATGAATGAGAGAAATACTCGGAGAGAATGCCGGATCGCGCGCGACGCGCTGCTGGATTTCCTCGAGACTGCAGGAGAGCGAGGGAGAGACTCGAGAGCGCGATAAGTTATTTTTTTCCTTTCGCGAGAACGATTGAAATTTCAGATACGTTCTTTTCTATGTAGACGCGCGATGCGATACAGCGTGTATCGCAACGCACATATATAATTGAAATGACGCCGATTGAAAAATAAATGTATATTCAGCCGTGTAATATCTCGCGAACGTTTGGCTCGGCTAAACGGATGTAAACTACTGGCAATCTAGACGAACTCCGTAAGAATATAAAACAGCTCTTATGCGCTCGTGCTATGTACGTGTAATTCAAGTCTTTCTCGCGGGCTCCAGCTCTCTTGCACGCTGCGTCGTTGCTGTTATTGTTGTCGTCGTCACCGCGTCGTTCGCTGCCTGGGATTCGTCGTCTGCGTATATACACACCATTCATGCGTGAATTTTAATTCGATCTGCTGCGACGCAGAAAACCACAAGGCGCGCACATGTGCTTTGTGTTTTGCTTACTATTTGCGGAGAGAATATTTCCGGCACAAAAGTACCTGGTCGAAGCGCACAAATTGATTGCTTGCATGCTAATGCCTGTAGATGTTTGAATTCAAGTTTTTTTCGTGATAGAAAAAAATCCAAGACGAAGAAACACCATTTGATTTATTATAATCGAAAAGTAGACGAATTAGCAGTAGCTGACGAAATTGACATAAAGATTTGCGATATATAACTTCAGACTTTTTTTTGCCACTTGCGGATTTTCACGTACGGGCATTCGCCACCTAGTGGTGGAGACTGTATTCAATGATGGAAAAAATTTAAAGTGTAGAATTAAATCATTGTGGCTCATATTTGCCCAAAAAATAATGTATGCGATTGCGTTTTTATTTTGTGCTGTTTATTAGACAATTGAATCAGTACATTAATTTTTTGCGAAGATTGGATGTAAAATTAGCTAAAATAAAAGTCAATATCGATCACTTTAATTTTGGTGTCTGATTTTACATCAAATCTGCTTTGAATTAAAAATTTTTTTTTCAATATTGTACGATCCGCTGCTACACGTCAAAAATATCGAGTTCGACGAATGTAGGCGATTTATCGATGCATTTATACCGCGTATCGAGTCCAACGCTCGAATACGCGCTCCGCCGCCGAGGCGCACGTGTGTTTGTTGTCCTTTATACTCTCGTTGCGTCGAGTAGCCGTCATAGCCAGCGCAATTGTCGCAATTTTTAATTGCGCGTACAATTATGTATGTGCAAATGCACGAGAGCCGCATCAGAAGCCCCGCGGGTTTACACGAGGCGCGCGAGCGAGAATACACACACGCGCGTCTCTTGACCGGTACTCAAGGCAGACGTACTATTATTCTTCCGAAAGAGATGCCTGTCCCGCTTGCGCTTACATTCGCGCGTGTTTGTGTTATACCTACTCTACTCATGAAACAAAAATGTACACAATGTATCAAATTGACCTCGTGCATTCGCAGGGCTGAAATAAGTCATAGTACTAGCTGCGCGTGTTCTCGTGAATTTGTAAAATGCATTCAAGTTGATACTTTCAACATTTCAGCTTTATTTAACATTTTCGCGTTGATAGAGTGGATTAAACAATATTATAAAGGTTGAGAAATAATAATAGTAACAATAACAATTAGTTGTCAAGTTTTGCGAACTAGAATAAGTCAAAGTGAGATACATGAATCTTTTGTGAGAAATAGCTTTGTCGGTTCGCTTCATTTTTCTTTGGGCACTGTATGTGTATATGCCCTTTAGGCAAGAGTGTGTCTCTTACACGAAATTCACATGTGATTTATTTGCACAGATATAAAAAAAAGTAGGTATCGCACCGAGAGATGTTGTACGTTTAAGCGTGTGTTTGTTTATCCTCCAGCGCATTAAGAGCCGTGCGAAATCTAAAACTTTGCTACAAAAGAGGCTGCGTGCTAAATAAAGGATGGCCTATTTTCCTGTCTTACGAGCATTATTGCAGTAAATTTTTTTCTTTTCTTTTTTCGCTTTTTTGCATAATGTACCGGAACCGATTCAAAGATAAACATTCATTGAAGTTTACTATATAAATGATTACGCACTGAAACGAGTCAAACAGGCATTTTCTTTGAATAAAATGAGCTTTCAAACATATTAACGTTAATAATTTATAATTCTACAAAAAGCGAGGGAATTTTCATGAAACCAGCACGAGGGAGGGATTTGCCATGTATATGGCTAAAACGCGTCAGAGCACACTGTAAGTCTGAAGCTTTGCGAGATGTGCGTCAAAATGTACGAAAATGCGAGATAAAAAATAGCACCGAAATCGTGTGTGTATGGAGCTGTAAAAAGATGTGACGAAAAGCAAATCTTTGCATAAATTCCCAACTCCACGGTAGATATTACATCTAATTACAAGCACGTAGGAAAACGAAAGTAGAGAAATAAATTAAACAAAATACCCTCAACTGCAGTATAATATTGAATTCGTACGCCCGTTCGATAAATTCCAAGCGGCAAATCTTGCTACGTACGAGAGATACACATCTCACTCGTTGTCAAATTATCTCATAAAATGTAAAAATAAATAATAATCACGGGGCATTAATGGGGGCAGATACGAGCGAAGAAAATGATATATAAATGGTCAAAGTTACCGTATATGGCTGTGCGCAAGCTGCAATTGTGCACTAACTCACGCATGGAGGGTATTTATATAAGTACAGCAAAACAAACAAAACAAAAAACGAAAAGGAAGAAAGAGAGAAGAAAGAGGCGCGCAAGAAGCGAGCATGGCAAGGAAGCAGCTTTGGCTCGGCGAGGAGGAGTTGCTGCTGAGGCGCTCGAGTTCTCTTTTCTATAGCAGTATAGTAGTGGTAATAGTAGTAGTAGTAGTATGTATATAGTGTCGAGGTCGCGCTCGCCGCCACCGCCGCCGGTGCTGTGCAATGTGCTGCAGCAGCGGAGCTACTACGCGACTCGGCCCGCCGCGCCAAGCAAGCTAAAGCGAGCGAGCGAGCGAGCCAAGTAGCGATACATAGCCGCGCGCGACTCTCCTCACGGTATCAGTCGAGCGCGAGCGTTCGCCGCCTAAGCAAGAGCCGCTGCTGCTCTCCTCCTCTTTCTCTATACACATGTGTAACGAGATACGATTCGGAGTCGAGAGGAGCCGTATTTTACTCTTGTTTCATTAAAGTCTTTCCTTGAAAGGCCAGTGCACAGTGACTCCGATATTACATTATAACAATCATTTATACGAAGTGCGAATAATATTTACGTGCCGCGTTCAGTGCGACACGAACGAAGCGTCGATGCTCTTCGTGACGAATTAAAGAGCCGTTACAGCCGCGGAGATAACAACGCGCAGAGAGGAGAGCCTCGAGCTCGTAAAGGTAAATATAAAGTGCATCGACGTATACACTTATATATACGCAGCAGATATACGCGTCTCTGTCTCTGCGAAGTCGCGGTGCACAACGTGCGCGTTATACGTGTGCAGTGTGTGTATATATACTGCACAACGACAAAACGTCTCGAGCGCGTAAAAGCAGGCCGCAGACACCACTTTGCGATGTTGTTGTATACATACGCATTTGCTTTCTCTTGCTGCGCGTCTCGTAAATGAGAATGATGTAAGCGTGTTTGTGCGTGATGTATACGCACGAGTGCAATTCATACCCAGGTATGTGTGTGTGTATGTGCGAATGAGACATCTCGTGCGCATATTTGTATAAGTGTAACGAGTCCCCCATGAGTGCATGATATGGGTGTGTGTATGTGCGCGACTATATCCGCGATCGCGTGTAGAAACTCATACCGCGCACACGACTCTCGGCAGAAGAAAGTGCACTGCGCCGCGTCCCGAAAATCCAATTCGCCGGCGAGTGTAAACAGGACGAGAAAAGCAGGCTCTTTATATATATAGCAGAGTGCACCTGCACCTGCGAGACTCCGTATTAAATATCTATATAATGCATCGAACTCGCGCTGTACGTATAAACGCGCTAATTGATATACGCGCGGGGTAACTCGATCGCGCGTACGCGTACCTATCTCTATGCGAGATATTAATTTTCGCATACTCTCGTGCGCGCGGAGATGATGATAATAGCGAATATCGGTTCTCTTCGTTCTCCGTTTCACACGTGTATATTCGCGATATACATATGCCAATGCTCTCTGTTATGATTCGACACGACGACGGCGACTCGTCAACTGCACGCACACACATGCACGTATATCGTATAAGTTGTCTATAATATTTCGCGCACAGCCTCCGTTTCTCCGTCTCCGCAATGCTTACACAGATAGACGCACACACGCGCGTATATCGTACGTGTCGCATAGATGCCGGAGCTTTTCAAGCCATGACCCCGATTGGCTCGTGTGTATACTATATACTATATATTATTAAGTAAGCATACGAAGGCAGTTTATGAACGTAAATACGTACAGGTATTAGGTACGCGTATATGACATCGACAGCGTCGCGCAGCCTCCCAGCGCGATACGTACCGAGGCTGTCTTCTTCTCTATGATAATTATAACACTCCACATAGATCATATTATTCACGCAATGTCAATATTATTATGCTCGAGTGCGAAACCGAAGGATCGATCGAACTGCCCGCAATTTTTTTCTACGGTCATAGATTATAAATTCGTTCATTATGATCTGTGTTAAGGAAAGAAAATATAAAAGATGCTCGAGTCTTCCGGATTCTGTGACAATTAAAAATATTACACAACATGCACATACAACAACAATTTCCATTCATATGTTACACTCCACTATCTTACGCACTTTTTATATGTGACTATTCTCACTGAAGTTGAATATACCAAAAAAAAAAAAAATTGTTGTCGTGAAAAACTATTAGTTTGTGATGTCATGCATGTCTCTAAATTTAATAAGATTCTTTGAGAACGTCTGTCACCCTTTTTCAGAGGAGTGATGTTGACATTTTCCCGAAATTCATGCTTATTGCTTATATTGAAAAAATTCCTAGCTCGGTATAAAGAAGCTTGAGTGAAAAAGTGCAAGATAGCTTTTTTGTTGGAGAATTTCCAAATTTTCAGAAAAACAATATTCTAAAGTGTTCCGAGTACTTTGGAAACTTGCTACTGTAGAGCAAAACAAAATAATGCTCGTCAAAATCGAATCAAATAATTCAATTCAAACTTTCATCGCCTCCATTCCGAAAAACACGAACTTCGCAGCTCTGAAACGAGGCGATGGACGATCCTAAAACTCGTATAACAAAACTGGAGAATACACATCTTCAAAACGCCGAGTTTTCGACGTCGGCAGAAAATTTTTTCCAATTCGTTCCATTTTGTACAGATCCGTCCATATATATAAACAAACTCATTCATGCTTCCTGGCGCGCGTATAAATCCATGTACACGACGCTCGCGCGTACGTACACATATACGCGAGGCGAAAACTTGTCATTCTACATATACGACAAGCCGCTTGGCGCGCGCACCGCGAGGCACACTCGTTGTGCGTATATATACGCACGCAACGCGACGCACGATCTATAATATCGCGCACAAGGCAATATTACGATGATGCAGTCGCGGTGCGTATTATGTATATTCGCCGGAGAGAAGCAGCACGAGGGAATAGCGAGGAAGGCAACAACATATATTATAAATATCTTTGCTTCGCGCGCGCACGCTCGTACGAATGCAAAGAGGTTGTATGGAGCAAAGATGACGCTTGACGCTTCTCTATATACATTCGTGCATATATATATATATACAAGTAAGTGCGACACCGGCTGCGCTGCGGCATGCATGTGCGTAATAATTTATAAATACGAGATCTACTCCGCGTTGGGTGGAGCGCGCGCGAAGTCGCCGAGCGAAAGTTCAAAATACGTATCGTATTATAGTATGCGCACGTATGCTCGAGAGACAGAGAGCGACGACGATCTTTTTTCGCAAAGCAAAGACACATAAATCGCTAAAAATGAAATTTAAGAGCCACTGTAATTTGCACCTAAAACGTGTTACATATTTTATATATATATATATAGTATAGTGTAGGCTCGCACAGCACACGAGGTGTGTTGTATACTTTACGATGGTTGCGCCTCGGTTTCTCTTGCGTAATAATATCTCGTTAATTGCATAATGCTCAGTCTCGCATAATATATACGCGCATACACTGTATACACATCGCACACACAGATATCTCGAAAGGAGGCGTCAAACTCCTCGCGACGAGTGTGCGAATATCGTGTATAAATATATATGTTTGCACTGCGTGATGGTGCTCACGAACTCGAGATGAGTATATTATGCTGCTATCGCGGCACGGGGCAAGCGGAATTCCGCGCCGGATTGATCCTCGGAAGCGACTATGTATACGTGCATGTATATAGTGTATAGGAGGAAAACGAAGGGAGTCGTCGTCGTCGTCGTGCATGAAAGTTTTCCAAGTCACTGACCGCGCTCGACTTGTATTATATACATATCTCGCGTGTTGTATATATATACACATCTCGCCGCGGAGGAGCCTGCAAGTCTGTTGACTCCCGAGTCTCGCGATGCCGCTGCTGCTCACGCTGCCGCTGTAACGATCGTCGCTCGCACCCGCATCATAACACGTGATATATAGAAGAGTCCATTTATCAAAAAGGCTCGTTAAAATCATTCTTTGATTTATTTTTTCTGTCCCTCGTATGATATAATTTATAAAGTGCTCGATTTTTGAGTTCGCTTGTGCATTTGAATATACGATGTCAAAAAAAGTAAAAAAAAAAGCCAGCGATAATAACGAGTTCATCCGAAATAGATAGAAACGAAATATCACAAACGCACATCTTTTTCCGGTAAAACATTCGAATATGATTACGGTTTGCAGAAATTACTTTATTCGAGATAGCTTTTATGCCTTTTTTTAGTATCAAAAAGCACGCAGCACTACCACAATCGCTACCCATTTTTCGCACTTCTCAATTTCTTTGATCGCATTCGTTATCATTAACGCTTGCTTTTAGTTAAAGCCATTTTTCAATACTGCTTTCATCGCAAAAAGAAACGAACAAAAATATGTATATTTATCGTTCTATATACGAATTACCCGGTGTGCGCACCCGACGATCGCACTTTGTGCTATCACGGAATATCAGCGAAATACATTCATATTGTAATCGTCTGTAATTGCAGCTTACTAATTATAATTCACCGGTTTTCGCGTATATATGTACTTCCTATTAGTGGAAAAAGACATTGTGTACATTGCAACTGTTGTTCCGCGTGTGACTCACTTCGCCGCTCGTGTGCAGCGTTAAATTTACTTGTTTCTTTGACCAGGACACGGCACACTGAATTAAATTTAGATCAACGAAAATAACATGTCACGTGTTAGATTTAGACTCGCACAAAGTTATTCCTGGAGCATTGTTATTAATCCACAATTAAATTATACCAGTGTGCAAAACTCGGAGCGCAAAAAAAATAAAGAGGAAAACTCGAGTATGCTCTCTCGCGCATAGGCAATTCTTTTGTCGTGCTGGTGTGGAAGATGTAGTATCTCTAAAAAAATTAGTCAGGAGCTTGGGAGCAGTACAAACTTTGTATTGCGTGAGTGCACGCACGCACAAGCTTGTAATAATAACGTAGCCGTCGCGCAATTGTGTAAATATTTCGATACACGATTTATTTCTCTCGTTTATACGATGCACACGACGACGCGCGCCAAAGGAGATCGGAGGATACGTGACATTTCGCTCGTCGACACGGCTTATAACGACGCACGGCGAGATCGCTTTATTACAGAATCAGCTTTGCTCTGTGGATGAATCGGCCGAACTATATAGAAAAAATTAACGGAACTTTTCCTTTATGTGTATCAAGATCATGACATTTATATCGTAAGAAAAAATATTTGCCACTTGCGAGTTTACAATACTCCATCTATCGATGAAAACAAAAAGCTCATAATCAAATATGACACCTTTGATGAGAATAAGTCAAGTTACAATTAAAAATGAATTTTGGGATATTAAAGGGATAGAGAGGCCAGACCAAAAATCGGAATTTTCATTCCGTTTTCTGAAACTTCTACTGAATATTTATTCAAAAGAATCCACGACCAATTTAATTTTGAATGTTTTTAAAGACACCATATAGAACTTCTAAAAAGAATATATATTTAGAAGTTTCAGAAAAGGGACGGAAATTTGGATTTTCGGGTTTGCTTCGTCATTCCCTAATTCACTACATTTTCCTGCAAACTTCTATTAAAAGTTACTCTCAAAAGGCATACATATTTTTTGGACGTTCATGCTAAATAGATGAATAGGTACCTGACATCGAGAGTACGAGTCGCCTCGTCCTGCTTTCACTCATGCAACAACTTGTTGTGTATCATTTATTTGTGTGTTATTGATTTTACAAAACTGTACCGTTAAACGCGCCCGCGATGGTTTCGCACGTGTCATCACTCAATTTGATATATGAATTTTCGACATTCGATGAATAAATACTTAACTGTGCTTATAAATATAGCTTCGGGCATAATGAGAAAAATAACGTCTGGCGAGTCATCGCAACAAAGTGCGCGACGAAGTCTTTCGCTTTTCTTATCATCGTTTCTATAATTACATCGCATCAACTTGGAATAAAAATTTGACCTACTGGAAGACATCGTTAGAAAACTGTTACTTTTTTCTTTTAATGAACGCGCAACGCGAGTCGGTCGTGGAATATTCGCGCATTAGATGCGGCCAATTTAATCGAGAAATTATTTACTCGTCGCTATTCCATCGATTACTCCGTAAGTTTGATACGCGCACGGGCGCATTAATTTTCTAGAGAGCTAGACGGAAATTATACAAATTGTCTGAGTGCCGCTGTGTGCATAATATTTTTCAATTAGTGCGCGGGCGCGCGTTAAAATTATAATGCGCTGCATATAAGGGTAGGGAAAAAATTCAACTGAGCAAAGAACATGAAATAAATGGTATTAGCCGGCAGCGGCCCTCGCAACCTTTGTGAAAATTTTAATTTTACACGGTTTGAGTTGATGGAAAATACGAAAAAGCAAAAACGTATAAAATAAAAATTATTCAGAAGATTTTGTCGAATCGCAACGTAGGCAAAAGTAACAATGATCAAGAACCTTTGCTGCTGCGGGCATATATATTGCTCGCGTCAATATTCCCTTACGACTAAGCCTAAGCCCTTTGAAGTTGGTGTATATCTGCTCGCTATATGTTCGTAAGCTTATATAATACCAATGCGATTCCACTGCAGTTGAGTTTTTATATTATGAATTATCTCGTAGCACGCGCCTCTGTATACGAGCACATAATGCTTGTCCCTGCTCAAAGCAGCCTTGAGAAGCGCTTGATACTTTTTGCCTCTCTTATAAATTTATGTACAGTACGAGCACTCAAAGATCTCGACGAAAAGACTAACGTCAACTCCCATTGTCTTTTTGTTTTAGAAGCAGCAGCATTCAAGGCGGCGAGACGAGCAAACGACGTCGAAAAAATGCCAGGACACCGTCAGCCAAGCAGCTTGGAATGCCTGAGCTTGCAGAAGGTCTGCCAGGTCCTCGACGGGACGTGCCGCCGACTGCAGGTGCGCTCGCAGCAGTCGTCCGTCGCGCAAGTGCTCGAGTACGCCCAGCGCAAGATCCGACCGTACTACGCCCAGGCGCTGACGGCCCGGCTGCGCTCGCAGGTGATCGAGGAGACGTCGCGCATGCTCTACGGGCCGTCGAGCGACGGCACCACCCTCATATCCGGCCCGGCGCCCCTCTACCTGCTGGCGCTGCTCCTCGAGCACGACATACGCCGGCTCAAGGTGAATCTCTGCTGCTACTACGGCTGCAGCCATCAGACGTCGCTGCTGCAGCTGCTGGCGCGCGAGGGCAAGGGCCTGGAGTCGCTCGAGCTCGCACGCTCGGCCCTGCTCAGACTCGACTGCAAGCTCTTGAAGACGGCCCTGCACAGCATGGAGAATCTGCAGCGGCTGACGCTGCGAAACATCGCCAGCGACTCGGTGCTCCAGGTGATCGGCAAGGCCTGCCCGAGGCTCGTCGTGCTCGACGTGGCCTGCTCGCGCCAGGTCACCGACAAGGGCCTCGAGAAGCTGCTCGTCTACGTGGAGTACCGCAACAAAACCATGGAGCAGGAGGAGGCCATGTTCCCGCGTAGCCACCGATCGACCAGTTGGCTGCGCTTCAAGGCCTTCGTGGCGAAGCTCAAGCCGCGCAAGTCGTCCCGATTCAAGGACTCGGTGCTGCTGGACAAGCTCGAGACGCGGAATCCGCTCTGCGACACGCTGCGGGTGCTCAACGTGGCCAACACGGGCATCACGAGCGCCGGCGTGCTGCTGGCCCTGGTGCACGTGCCCCAGCTCGAGTCGCTGGCCGAGTACTCGCACATGGGCCGCGTCGTCGAGATGATGAACCGCGGCAGTCTGCTCGACTTCAAGCAGCCGTTCAGCCTGACGTCGGCGCGCAGCTGCCGGACCACCCCGACGAGGCTGGAGTTGCTGGCGCAGGCCTGTCCGCGCGTCGAGAAGCTGCACATCTCCGAGCCGCATCATCCGCCCGACGCGCTCAGGCTGTTCCCGTACGTCACGTCGCTCAGCGTCCACGGCATACCCGTGCAGAAGGAGTGGCTCGACGGCTTCTACGGCTATCTGCGCACCAACGGCCCGCTGCTCAAGCAGCTGCACATGCGGGTGGAGCAGAGCGACAAGCCGCTGGACATCGATCTGCGACTGATACTCTCGAGCTGTCCGAATCTGCGGGTCTTCTCCAAGGACGGCTCGAACGTCGTCTGGTCGACGAGTCAGCAGGCCGCCGATCCACCGCCTCTGAAGTACCTCAGGAGCGTCCAGCTCGGCCGGACCGTCTCGGCCCTGGCGATCACGAAGATCTTGGCTCTCTGCCCGGAGCTGAGCTCGCTGCACGTGCACAGCTGCTTCGACCTGACCAACGAGCAGCTGGAAATTTTCCTGGGCGAGCCTTCGGTAAAGTCAACGTCGTCGTCGACGTCGTACGGTGCCGCAGGTCTGTCGCTGCATCAGCTCCTGCCCCAGTACGAGCTCAACAACAGCTTGGTGAGGAACCTCGAGTGCTTCTACATCTACGAGGCGAGCAAGATCTCGGCCTCCACGGTGCTGAGCATGTTCAAGAGCTGCGGCAAGCTGCGGAAAATCGGCAATCTCGCCAACTGGGGCCTCGACTGCGAGGGCGTGCAGACCCTCAGGAACACCTTCGTCAAGGCCAATCTCGACGTCGACCTGTGTCCCGGCTCGCACTGGTTTTGGAACGATTGCATCCGATAGGAGCGACGATAATAACGTCGTATACTGCTTTTCCACGCACACACGACATACGCGCTCGAGATATAATAACACAGGCCTACTGTACGCGAAAACTTTCACGAGCGAAAGTTTACGAGGCTCTGCGAATGAGAGAGCTTTTGGCGCTGCGAAAGATTCGTCGTCGACGTTTCGACGGCGAGGAAACAATAATAGCACGAGGGGGGCGCGGTCCGTCATCATCGCCTTCCACCCGACCAATTCGATCGCGATCACAGTATTAAACGCATAGCGCCAGATTAACGATGAGCCATGCAATTACAGCCGATGCGCACTCGTGCATTTACACAACGTAATAATGTTAATAATAATTATAATAATACCATCGCGAATGGTACAGTGATATATATTTGTATTTTTAGAAGTTAGAAAACAACACATTCACACGAGTTCAGATGGGCCATATACCGTGTGACCTATGTTTAACTCGAGCTATATAATAAATAACAATTCATCATGTAAGATGCGTTTTTCTAATATGCTTTCTCTGCTGGGACACTTTTAAAGAAAAAGAAAATCGAAAGTGCCCAAGTCATGTATTCGTATTGTTCGTTCAACGATTTGTAATTTAAGCATCATTGAGCCTCTTGGAGTATGGGCCAATATTATCGTTATTGTTTAAATGTCATTATTTAATCTCGTAATTGAATGCACACTTTATTTGCGCCAAGAAAATAATATATATGCTTTAATTCGCTGTAGTGTCCAAAATATATGCAGTACCAGCTGGAATAAAGCAATCATGTATTTCATCGTACTATTGTATACGTGTATGAAAATTATTTCATAGATTAAAATATCATCGAATTGTTATTAGATGTAAGAAATGGCGATTGTAATCAACTAATATAATAATTTTTTGCATTTATATTTGATTAGTCAAGAGGAAAAAAAATATCGAGTTCAGATTCCAATTAAGTATGAAATTAAAATTGTACATAGAACTAGCGTCTTATTTTTCAATTGTGTATTATCCAATACTTGGAGCTTTTGTAAAAACGGTAACAAAAAAAAATGACCGATGAAAATGTATACAATAAAAATATATACAAGGAGCCTAGCTCAACTTGAAAATATCCAGTTTTTATGGTCATTAAATTTATCCTTCGCAGCATTATTTCGAATCGACAGAAAGAGGCAAAAAAAAGTCATTATATCCCCGGCGCGGTGTGTCGATCGATAAACTGTCGATGAGCGCGAGGCATGGCAGCATCACCGTTACGGCCAATATATAAAGAGAGGCGTATTATATACAAAAGGAGAGCCTCGATTGGAAAACTTACCTCGGTAAATCCGTGCGCCTGGAGCAGTACATTGATTAACTTGGTGTCCACTTGGAAAATCTTGTACGTCATGTGCAGCTGTTTAGCCGGTGGGTCTTCCGGGGGCTCACCCAGCGCCGAGCATCTGTATATATACAGACACACACAGACAAAAGACAACGCATGTATTATATATTATAGACACAATGCAATATCTTGGCCGCAGGAAACGTGTGCGGCATGAATACGCGACGCGCGGATATATAGCATTTATGTGTATAGACGTATACGTGCGTCTATGCACGCATATGCAATTTATGCGCGGTGGAGAAGTTGAATTTACATTTTAAGATTGGCAGTATATGCACACGAATTCATGATGATACGTATATTCTATTTATGGATGATTTGCCTCTAAAAGTTTATTTTACAATGCCTTTTGCAATGGTTATGAAATTTCAATTATCTGACGTACGCATCACGGCACTAATATAAAATTTTCGGAAAAAAAATACCCTTTATATGAATTCGCAAGCGCACGAGCAAACCAATAAAAAAATAATACACGTAGGAAAAAGAAAAGAAGAGTTACTAACTTGAAGCGCAGCAGCGGCGTCTTGCTGCCGTTTGGACTGTTGAGCAGCCACTCGCTGTTGGCCTGTGCATTTTTGTCCTTCGATGTGCTGCTACTCGTGCTACTGCTACAGCTGCTACTTTGGCTGCAACAAATCACAGAGATTATCCTTCATAATTTATGCGATCATTACATACGTATCGCGCATATCAATACGCTGCATTATTCATATCTCTCTCTCTCTCTCTCTTCTTTCTTTTTTAATGCCTCGTGTACGTGACTGCTATAAAAAAAGTTTAAACTCACATGCACATGCTGCTGTTGTATATATTATCTCATAGAGTTGAGAATAAATGGTTGGCATCTCGAACGAACTTTATAGCTCCGATAGTATTTAAGACCGAACGTACAAAAAATGAGTTTAAAATAGACTCGCCTCGCTCATTTAAAACTATGCTAAAGTATAAAAGTATATTGTACATGAGATACGAGTCGAGTAAAAACACAACATTACATGAGCATCTCGTATGTGGAAATTCATCCTACTGCGGTCGTAAAAGTTTCTCTGTCACAAGGAAAACAGAGAAAGCTCGAAAGAAAGTTCGCGTTCATTTTTCATATTCTATATGAGTTTTCGGTAATAAATGGATAAAGTAAAACTATTATACACTTTAACATTTCAAGTTATTAAAAAGCATTTTATATCGCAAAGGGCAATGGGTTAGTATTCATAATCAGTAATTTTCATTTATCAACGCACCGTTACAAATCATTTATACCTAATGAACTCGAGACAGTCCGATCTTAAAGTGGTAAACAGTATGTATCCAGACACTTTATCGAATAGTAAATGAAAGCTTTTTAATATTAATGTGTTCATATGAAAGAAACACGTGCAAGCGCTAAAAATATCTGTATTATTCGCGAGCTGTTGCGCTATCATTGGGGAATAAAAAAGCAGGATACCCTGAGGGTGGGCAAATACCATAAAAATTTTGACTCAATCGAGTATTCGAATTTACGGGTATCTGATTTTTTTCCAATTACACTGGGTTAAAATCGATTCTGACTGGTCCAACAGAGTGATGGAACGTGTTTAAGCATAGGAAATTCCGGCGTTCCATCGGACAGAATCGATGTTAACCCAGTGTACTCGGGAAAAAAATCATTCAAAAAAATGTTTGTTGTAACTACGTATGCGTTTTTTACTGCGCTTAATTGTTCCGTAATATGTTATTTTGTTTTGGTCGCAGGGCCGAAAAAATGTTGTTTTCGGTTAGAGTATCAAGCAGCATAATTTCAAAGCCCAATCTCGGAAAAATCCTCTTGTTACTGTCTCGCATAGATACTTGATATACGCTTTGTGAGACTCGTTGCGGAGATGCGAAATTTTAGACGTGAATTCGTCGTAGTGTATACGCGTAAATACTTTTTCTGCCTCTTCATGGGGCAGCTGAAGAAAATCGAAGAGCGACAGGTTCGACCCCTACCAGCTGCCTTTTCGCGATGCTCGCGAAATCTTCGTCGCTACGTAAGCATTCGTCAATGTCTGCTGACTCGTCGATCAATCCGTACTTAGCGAATGAATTCATGATCGTCAGGGCGGCGTTTTGTTCCATTTTGTATCCTTTTCTCTCTAGTGACTCGACGATGCGCATCGTGGGAAACACAATCGCCTGGAGTGTACATTTGAGCGTGTATTTCTCGGCGAAGTAATTTTCAGTAGGGAAAACGAAACCAACACAAGCACCATAATCTAACAGTACATCGACCATATCTGGTAAAAGATTCGCCACTGCTATTTGCAGCGGTGTTCGGCCAAAATTGTCCCCAGCGTTAACCTGCACTTTTTTATTTTGGCCATCGGTGGTCTTTAATAAAATCTTGGCTAAGTTACTATTGCCATGCTTGTTGCAAATGACGTGTAGAGGAGATGACCTGTCCTTATTGGCCAAGTTTGGATCGGCCTCGTAGTTGAGCAGTAACTCGGCCAAATTTTCGCGGTTCGACGAATGATGATCACCATTAGTACTGCAAACGGTGTGCAAAGGTGTCAATCCGTCTTTATTAGCTAAATTAGGGTCGGCGCCGCTTTTTAGCAGCAATTCGACCACCTCCTTGTGCTCGTTCTCCAAAGCCAAGTGCAACGGCGGATCAACTGATTTTTGAGCGAGGCAATGAACATCCTGTCCAAGTTGAAGAAATTTTTCGACCACTTCTTTGCAGCCAAACGCGCAGGCTATGTGGAAATGTGTAAAGTCGAAGTCATCAATGTAATTCACGACATCGTATATTTCAAAAAGTTTCGGGATGTTGTTGTATATTGTAGACCTGGAACTTCTAGCAAAACTGGCTCGGTGCCCTCAACTACCTCAAGTTTGTCTTTGTAGCCAGAGCAAATTACGAAGTCGATGAGTGGAACTCCGGTAGTGTCCGTCTCGTTAAATACATCCTGCACGAGAAGCCAATCTATTTTTTCATCGTTAAGCTGTTCAGAAAGGACTGGACGTAGTCCCTCCCACGTCCTGATTAAGAGATAAAATTGATCGAGAAATTTTTGTCGTTCTTCTTTAACCTCCCAATCCAAACTTTCAAGTAGGCTATTCAATTTTTCATCGTAGTTTTCGTCAAGGAGCTCCTTCTCGTTCGAATCACCGTCGTCGCTTATGCGAACGAAACTTACATCAGATTCGGCGTCGGATATGGACATGATTGATAGACACTCACACAAAAATACAGTTGCTTTCAATCTAAAAGAATTTTCACTTTTTCAAGTAAATCACTATTCACTGGTTATAATCGATGTATTTTTTCGATGCTTGTGCTTTGGCGTCGTAACGTGTACTGAACGAACACTTTTGCTGCCGAGATTGAGGAGAGTCAGCATAGGCGGAGAAAGGGAAGTTAGGGATTCCCAGCTACGCGTCGTCCGCACAAAGCTGCCGTATTCTCAAAACGAGTTGAGAGTCAAATCTTGAACCGCACGCCACAAGCCTTATTATATGTATTATACGTATGTAAACATCACGCAACACAAAGAGATATGCGATTTAGAATGCGCTGGCCGACGATTGTTGTTATTTTGCCTTCGAATCCTTCGTAAACTGACTGAGGCAAATGACCTTTGGTTTTTATTTTAAGTATAGCCAGTATGTCTTTATTTTTGGATTATTTATTACGCGATCTGATGCATAATAGTTTGCACGATTTTATCCAGACCTTAGTAAAATATACGACTGTACTTAATTGATGACTTACGATCGAATGAGTTTAATAAATAATAAAATGATGTTTTATACATTCATATCGATACTTGCATTATTTTGGAGTTTTTTGATGTCTAGTTAAATAATTCTTTCTACGAAAATGCTTAATTTGAATTAAAATCCATGAAATAATTATTTAATAAAAATAATAGACGGATAATAATTGCCATGGGTACGAGTCTCTCTATGTAGTCAGTCACAGCAAAGACTCGAGAGCTCGAGGCGTGTAACAATCAATGTGTATTGTGGCCGCTTTAGCACATGAAGATTACATTTAAACTTATAAATGCATCTGTTGGATTATTCATTGCGATCGTAGAATCTACTTATAAAAAATTAAAAACAAAGTTTAATATCTTATGTCGGTTCTCATCAAACTTATTTTGCGATTATTTCTGTTTTAAATCGAATGACTTAAAATTGTTTTAATTTTTAATTGAATTGTTGCATGTATGTAAAGAAATTTTCACATGCTGCCGCTGTTCCTAAACAGATGATTTTTTGCGAGTACTTGATTGTTTGGAAATTTAGAAACTTTGTTTTAAGTAAGGTCTACATAGTCGAAGATTGAATAAAAGATCCGCTCAAAATGCTGTTTTCAGCGCATCATTAATCCATTAACGCGCAAAAAGGCTATTTTGTGCATGAATTTACAATTGTAAAAAAATCTTAGATAAAGTTAAAATCTTTACTTGGAAATCCATAATCAGAGGTTTTTGGGTATGCTCTTTTAAAATCCGGAATTCTTTTCAAATTTTCACATGAAAATCATTTAAATCCTGGCGCCTTCGGTACAAATAAAGCGTTCATGGGTTCTTCTCTTAAAGTTATGATGGTTCCGATTAGTGAAATATAATTTTAAGTACAAAAAATGACGACTGCAAAATGAAAATATATAAGGAAATTTTTAAATATTTAACTCAAAAACGATGGATTTGAAGAAAAAATTTTACTAATAAATGAGTTCTATGATAAATTTTAAGAATCTATCGTTTTTGAATTAAACTTTTCAAAAATTTTCTTATATATTTTCGTTTTTCAGTAGCCATTTTTCGTACTTTAAATCATATTTCAAAGGCGCCAGGATTTAAAAGATTTTTATGTGTAAATTTGAAAAAAAAATTTTTTCGAAATCACATTTTTTTGGATAAAACCATCCATAACTTTTGACTTGTTTGTTATATCAAAACTCTGACACCGGATTCAGAAAGTTCAATAAATTTTTGCGTAGAATATGCCTATTTGCAAGTACTTCAGACACCGTTTTCATCAAAAGTCCAATGGTTCAAAAAAGTATCAAAAAAGTGTCCGTACCGAACTTAATGGGTTAAGAAATCAATTAGAACTACACACGTGAATCAGAAATATTATGCAGGCCTGTATTAGGACAATTTTCGGTGTTTATTAATCCTATTGAAACTATTGGTGCAAAATTCGACTTAAATTTTACTTTCACGGTAATCCACGAACGTACTATAAAATTTTTTAATACTCTAAAACTATTCACGCTCGACGGGTAATTAAAACGGTTGTTAAAATTTTCTAGAATATAAAAACAATTTTTTATTGCTTAAAATTAAACTTTTTCAAAAAAATTGACGGGCTTCTTTTTAAAGTCGAAAGTATTGAATTCAAATCAGATTGATATTTACAAAGTACATTTATCAAAAATGTTGAAGAAATGTATACTTAAATTAGTTTTTGGATTGTACCTGATAACGGTGATAAAAAGCAGTAAGTACGCTATTTATTTATGTAAAAATAGTTTTTTTTTCAATATTCCTATACATTTAAAATATGCTTACTTTTTTTTATAGCATCAGAAAAATCAAAAATAGTTGAAGGAGAATTAGCATTGCCCAAACAATTCCCTCATCAA